AGGAAACCATTAGCAGTCCTGTTTGTGTTAGCCAGAAGCTGTATAGGGAACATATAAAATGTGAAAAAAGAAGCTGCGATCAAATGAGGAAACAATAAATTTTTGCACTACATGTATAGGGCTGTGATTTCTGTGAGTCCTATACAACACTCTGTGCACAATATCTTCATAATAAACATGGTGGTGGGAGAATCATGCTGTGGGGATTATTATTTTCAATATGAAAAGTAAAAGTGGTTACAGCTTTGTTTGTAATTTCTATATGCTTTGGTAATTACAGAAATTTGGGCTTAATAAAAAGTATATTTAATTTCTGTTTAAAAAATACTTTTAACTTGACACATGAGCCTCATATGAACACATACTCTAATTTCCTGAGATTTACCTGCGTGTACAAAAAAATCTCTGAACTAATAAGCATGAGTCATCTGTTATTTTCCTTGGTGCCTCTGACAGGTTTACCAAGTTATATAGAAAGAGGGTGTGCCACTCTACATAAATGGTCGGCATTGTTTAAAAAAAGATATCTGCCCATTTGAAAATGTGAGATTTAATGTTAAGTATCAAAAAAGGAAGAGTAGCATTGTTTGGTATCTCAGAGAAAAGAAGCATTGTGTGTACCTTTAAATAGAATACATTGAAAGACCTAATATCATCATGAATATGTCTCTACAAAGGAATCAAATATAAAACTTGATCTAATTATGTAATAAATATCAAATGTGACAAACAAATAAAAAAAATACCTTCTCTCTATTTAGGCATATTGTTATCTGTCAAACCTTACCTACTTTTTTTAACCAAATTTAAAAAATAATGGTTCCTTTTTTCCTTAAACTTGTCCATCAACTTTGAAACAATCATTCTACATAGTGTTTTAGTAAGCAGATGTATCCCTAATAAAAATCACACTTTATACAATTCCCTGTCTTATTGCCTTAATGCCTTGCTGCACCGGTGCAGAAAGAGGCCAAACCATGCACCAAGTCCATCGAAATGGACAAACTTTTGAGATGCCTGAAATTTCTGATTGAAACATCCCCTTTTAAGGGTTGTCCTTTTCTTTAAGTAACAATCAAAATCTAATTATTGGAAAATATAGGAGGAAATAATCAATTTGTTAAAAACGTATGCATGGGTTTGAACTTCTGAAATTAGGGGAAAAAATACAAAGAAAATTAAACTAAATTATTGGTTAATTTCCTTTTGGGATTAATAAAGTATTATTGAATTGAACAAGTGGCAGATAAATTATTGTGTCAAAATAACAGATTGCATGCCTCAATACAAAATTATAGATCAAGTCTTTGTTGTATATCTTTCAAATTGCATTATGTGAATGACTGAGTGTTTTGAATAAATGATCAAAACTACAGAAATAGGTATTAAGCTTTAGAAATAAGAGAATCAACCTACGTAATGGGAGAGATGGACTCATTAAAGTTGGGCCACATGCAATAGGTATGAGCCATGAGGAAAGCTTTAAATCACACAGTCACCATATATTTATTTTTTAAGTTTACTTTAGTGGTAAATAATTTAAAAAAAAATCCATATGACACACTGAGCTTACTGACACTTTTTTATTTTGTAGAAAAAAAAAAATAAAAATCTCTTGGGTTTAGTCGAGGCAGTGTAACACGTCCCTGAGAGAAGAGACACAAATATTTCAATTAAGCAGAGCTGCCTTTTTTAACACAGAACAATGAACTACATCTGAACTTTGAGTTATTACAACAGTCCTGAGCAGCAACAAGAGGGAAAATGTCAACCTTTATAGCTGAGATAACAGCTTCAAACAGAAAAGCAGACAGTACCTTCAGTGTTATAAACAGAAAAAGAGAAAATGTCTGGCATCTGCAAATGAAAGTCAACATTACTGGCCTACATGACAAGCTTAATAGTTTGGTTTCCATCTGCAATAAAGTGACGGGTCAGAATGACATGAAGACTGCACTCAGGTGGAATGTTTACCGGAAGGAAAAACAGATTCTAGCTTGATTTTAAACATAATTTATCTATAAACAAATATTTCCTGAATGAAATCCAAGAAGGCTCCAGTCATTTTAAAGTATAACAACGATAGCTAAAAAAGTTCTCCGGCATCTATTTTCAGACTGATCAGGCTTTAAATGTGGAACCTAACGGGTAGATTTTAAAATAATGAATAGATGAATGTTGTAAAATAAAAGGAAGGAAATTTTAAACGGGCAGTAGGATATACAGGACAATACAAAAAGATGTTTTCCTTTTTTCCCACGAATTTTATCCAGACTTGAAGAGGGTAGAAATTGCAGTCTTTTCCTGATTGACTAGGCATCCTGCATTATAAAAATATATCTTTTAAAAAAATAATCTGCCTGAGTACAAGCTGTATTTTTAAAGAATAAAAAAGTTAGTACACAACAGAAATTTTAATAAAAAAGATAATCTGTTACCGAACATTTAAATAACCTTAAACCTGCTGTTTTTCATGTTTAATAGACTGTCCTGACTAACGATAAAATAACCAATTAAAGTCTGTTGCATTATTACAAACTGCCTTCCCTCTTTTACTTATTTATATAATAGCACACACTTGTAGATACAAGATTTATCCTGTTTTTCCTATTGTATTTTCCTTTTATCCCTTTAAGTCACATTGTATTATTGTTGCTGTTTGTACTGTTAAGATGGAAAACCAAAGACAAATTCCTTGTTTGTGCACACAAACTCTGTCGTTGTAGATAAATCTGTTTCTGTCATGCCGAACACCAAAACCTTATTTCTAACTAATGCAATTAAAAAATTATATATAAATATTTGTCCACCAAGCAATTCATCACTCGGATATCCTCTTTGGTCAGAAGTTGTAGATATAAAGGAATCAGAAATGCTTTTACAACCAAAGACCAGTTCAATAACCTCTGGTTTATGTGGGTTTCCTTTGCTTTACATAAAATAAAACAACATGTCTTACGCATCTCAAGAATGAAATAATAAAAATAATAAATCTGGAATTTAAACACATGAATGACTTGTCTGTGCAACATTAAGTCAAATGTTAGTTACAGCTGTTTACCATCCAGATAACAATAGGATGCCACCAAGCATCAGGGCACTTGAGGAGCAATAATAAAACTCTATGCAAATATATGTGCAAATAAAACCTCAACTAGAAACTGATTTTATAAATATTAAATCTGTACTTTACAAAATAAACTTTCTTTTAAGATATAGACAAACCAAACATGAACTTTTCCATCCTTTTGTCCGCCAGTTAGGACTCATGTGCCAGGCTGATCATAACAAAAAAGGACACTTGGGTGTTCTTGCATACATTCCTGGAGTGTAAGTATGGGTCTGTTTTCATCTTTGGATCAAATTCCTTTTTTTGCTTTCAGCCTCTGATGCAGACTAGCATTTCATCAGGCAGCAGGGTGAATGGCGGGAGCTTAAACTCAGTGCCATTTATCATCTGCTACAGTAGTAGTAGTCAGCAGGGAATCCAGTGAATAAACTCTGGGCAGCATCACCTCGGTAACAATAATCTCCACTGCTACCACATTCATCAAACAGCCTGAGTGGATGAAGTCAGTAGCTGATCTAATGTCTCTGTCTGTCTCCGATGGTCAGCAGGTTTGACACAGACGCAGCAGGAGACATAGTCCAGCCTTAAAGTGCTTTGGTGTCCACGGCTGTAGGCGTGACAAAGCCCAGGCGTCGCAGCTGGATGAGGATCACACTTGGCTCATTGACATCTTCCGGTTCCACATGCCTCGTTTGGAGTGATAGTGGTGGAAAAAGTTCCTCAAATAGATTCTCTCCACTTCCAGTCCACCTTGGAGGATCCTGCAGCACAGAGCAGAGTTTAAGTTTGGTTAACTAAAGCATGCCTCTCTTTAAATACAAACCGGCTTTGATTGTTGGGTACATATGTACACACACTTAGGAGCAAAACCCAAACCATCATCCTTATAAATTCATTATTACGCATATGACTGTTTAAAATAAATTATACCTCTGGATGTTTCATCAAAAGGACAAGTTACAATCTCATTTCTACATCTTATGTGACAGATTTACAATTTGTCAAAAGATTTCTACAGATCGAAATGTGAACTGAATCAATGTTGCCTCTT